CTTGTCTGATATTTTTAAGAATCAACCCAAAATACTACTTTGCCCCCCTCCAATCATTGGGTATCATCCTAGGGTTTTGAACCCATATAAAAGGAATAGTAAGCTCACATATTCTCCTGATTCCATTCTTCGTCGTCCCCAACCTTGAGCTCCACAAGAAAGAAAGGAGAAACACAGTAAGTTTCCTAGGCTCATTCATCCTTCCTTCCATCTAGCTTCCACTATTTCGCTTCCAATCTCTGAGATTCTATTCTTAAGTGTTGTTTGGTTTGTTTGAGGTGTTTAGGTGGTGAAAGGGGTAGTGGTTGAGTTGGGAAGAAGAAGGAATCAACACAAGGAAGAACAAAGAGCTGAGGTATAACCCATGGACTCCCAACTTTATTTTCACTCTGTTAAAGTGTTAGAAATGAGAAATAGTTGCTTAATTAGAAATGTTAGATATTGTTGTTGTTGATATTCTTGTGAGATATTGTTGATATATGATTGATTTGTGAAGTTTTGGGAGTGTTGAATTGCACTGGATGAGTCTACAAGTGAAGAAATAGGCTCTGGTGCACCAGATGGCCTCACGGTACTAGCCAACGGACCACGAGAAGGTCAACCGGCTAGCACCGTGGAGCAACGACTCCAGGGGACGGATCATGGCAAGATCCGCCGCCGCTTGGCAGAGTCAAGTGGCGGGGCTTCCCAAGCCCCTTCACCAAGCTCCGCCAAGCCAAAAAGGTTTCTGCCCGGGCTCTCTGTGGCTCATCTACGTGTCGTTCAGACCGGGAGTGTAACACCCCGTGTTACGCCATTTAATCCTGGATTAATTATTTAATTAATTCCGTTAAAGAATAGTTAGAAAGGATTTAATCTGGTCAGGATCACTTAATTAATTAATGTGTAATAAGGACTTTAAGTCTGTTAGGAATAAAGAAAGAGGGTCTTTACGAGTCAGATTCTAATTAGGAATCCTAGACCTATATACCTGTTAGGAATAGAAAGTAGGTCTTTACTATTCAGACTCTAATTAGGATTCCTAACTCTATAAATAGGGGATTAGAAAGCAATTAGGACACTTCCGACCCATATCACACGAAATTGTGCAAGAAACCTAGCCAAGTGATTTGTTGAGAAGTTTGCAAAGAATGTGAGAAATTGGATATGTCCAGTACATGATTTCCTTGTTTATAGTAAAGTGATTTACTAGAGTTTGAAGTATATTTTGAGCATAATGAGCATGATCAATACTTGTTAAGTATTTGTTAAGAATAGTTGCTAAGTGTTGAGTTATGAGCATGAAGTAGTACTTTATTGCCCTTATTTCACAGTGAAAGAGAAGTTGAGATTACTTTTACAGTAAAAGAGCATGCTTAGCATTTCATGGTTTAAAGTGCATTATTGGCTCTAAGTAAGCCTAAGTATTCTTTCAAAAACCTATATCTATTTTGGAAAATCATTATCTAGTTGCATTGAGAAGTTTGCATGATATTTGATTTCCAAAATGTGAGAAAGAGAAATTGTTGAGAATTATGAGCATAAGAAGTTGCATGTGACATATATATATATATATATATATATATATATATATATATATATATATATATATATATATATATATATATATATATGCTATCTATGGTGAGAAAATAGAGTTTTCGGAGGCCCGTTATGACTATTTCCTTTCGAAAGAAAAGAGAAAGAAAGAAAGCTTAAGAAAGAAATGGACATTGCGATCCGATGTGAAGTAACGATGCGTATTCCAACGTTACTAGGTTGGATACAACCCACCAGGCTTGGAATCTCGGTTAGGGGGTGTGCATACTAACAAGTACAATACCCGATTCCACAGAGTTTGAGAAAAGGACCAAGAGAGTGGTTCTGTGGGCAAGATGAGTATTAGGCCGGCTAGATGCCGAGCTCAGATAAATTCGTTCACATTTTGGTGAAGTTCCTACCTCGCCCACGAGTGAAGAAATAAAGAAAGAAAGAAAGTGAGTCTGTGTGACTCAAGAGAAAGAAGAGAAAAAACGAGTCGATGTGACTCAACAGAAACCTCCACAGAAGTAATATTTTTTTTTATAAAAGAGCGAGAGTATATATATATATATATATATATATATATATATATATATATATATATATATATATATATATATATATATATATATATATATATATATTTATATATATAAAGCATCATGACTATCTTATTGCATGTTTGGCATTAAAGTTGGATGAGAAGTATAACATTGTATTGTTGTTTAATGATTGACTTGATAGCATGAGTTTGTTCGTTACGTTTAAGCATCTTTATCTATCAGTTTGAGCTTGAATTTGAGTATTTCGCCATGATTAGAAATATCAGTTAAAGCATGAGATCTATGTTAAATTGAATACTTTAGAAAGCATGCCTACTTGTTGATTAAGGTGCAAGCATATAGAATTATTGTTGAGCATGAACTGTGTTGTTGTTTATGAGATTGAAAGTACTTGAGCTTAAGTGTATTTGTCAAATGATTTTCAAATCTATATCTATAGTACTTTACAGGGTTGAGTGGCGTTATACTTAGCATTCGTGCTAACGGGTTATTTTTCCTATTTGTTTGTTTTGTTAACCCCTTTCAGGTGGGCCAAGTGTTTGAGTGCGCTCGAGATAGTTTAGACCGTAGTTATGAGTTGTTAGTGGCTAGTTCAGATTTGTTCTATTTGTTAATGTTTAAACTTTGGAGTTTAGTTGCTTTGTTAACCTTTTGATGGTGTTGGACACCAGGGTTGTATTCTCCAAGGACGTTTGTAGTTTTGTGTTGAGCTTTGACTCTATCTAGCACCTTTCTTAGCCTGTGCAGTCATCGTGTGTGTTGAATGCGGCGGTGACACCCTTTTGGTTCGGTCGTTTAAGCTTTCAATATTATCTTAATCTTGTTTAGTTTATCTTTTGGAAGTTAAGTGTTGCGATTTAGATTTAAGAAAAGTGGGGTGTTACAGGGGGGCTTGGTGCGGCGGGGGTGTTGGTTTCTAGGGTGGGGTTGAATGAGAATTTTGACAATTCTGGCCTGATGGATCAGAAACCACCGGAATAGTGGGCGTTTCCAAATGATAAATCTTCAATTGAAGGTGATGCCATGGAAATTAATGATGCTCCTATTGGTTTGTGGAGCAAAACGTGGAGACAACGCAAGCCTTGTTTGTACAGAGTGCCTATCATTTGCATCCAAGTGGAGCACAGGGGAACATGATAATCATCATTAACAAAAATAGCTAAAGAATGGTAACTCATCAGCCATTCTGGAATGATGATAAACAGATTGACACTCAACATAGTTGCCTGCTTAGGTGTTTTTGGGTTCAGATTAACTACTAGGTGGAGAAAAAAAAAAAAAGGATGTGACTGTAAATTATAGTTTTGATTGAAGATTGGTTAGTCGAACCTAGCATTAGGTCAGAGGTAGAGAATGGATGCAGTGAAACACATGAGTTGGCATTCGGTTCTCAGTTCGTAGATGTTGGAATTCTTTTTCCCAGTGTGTCTGTCAATTTGAAGGTGAAACGGTTAAATACTTCGGATACAGGCAAATTATATTATGCACCGCGGTGCATAATCGATTATGCACCGCGCGTCTTTTTTTAAAAATGAAAATAAACAGTGTTTGTTTCCGCCGTTTCGCACCCTTTTGCAAAAAGTAACTCTGTTATTCAGTGTCATTTTGTATACACTGCAGTTTCAGTTCAACACAACTACAGTTTCATTTCGATATAACTATAGTTTCATTCGATATTTATAGACTCAAATATGTGAAAATGTTATTTAATTTTATTTTATATACACTATAGTTTGATTAAAACACAATTACATGATCATTTTGATATAATTACAGCTTCATTGTACAATATACACTCAAATATGTGAAATGTTATTCAGTTTCATTTATTGGTTTCTAAGTTTAATGTTATTAGTAGTTAAATTGATATATCCCTTTTGCAGAATGGATTTTTTTTTTCTTTGTTTTTTTTAGGTACTAAAGCAGAAGATGATGGCAAATACAGCAGTTGAAGATTCAGAGCACATGATGAAAAAAAGACCATGCAAATAGTATATGTTAGCATACAAACATAGTTTGAATTGTACTTTGTTAAAGTAAAACATTAGATAATGGAAGATTAATGTAAGCTAAATGTACTCTTATTACATATTATTTTACCTTTTCTATCTCGAATAGTGATACCATTGTAAATATTTTTTGTATCTAATACTCCATTTTGGAGAATAAAATGACACATAGCACAAAATCAGAGAATTAAGCTATCACTAAAAAGATTATTTATCTCATTCTCCATTCTCCATCCTATCAATAACTCTAGACTGATTACTAAACTATCTCTAAAAAGATTACAAAACTGTAGTATAAGTATTTATTTAAGGCAAATAGGCTTACCATTAGTTTTTATAAATTATTAACTATAGGCTTAGTAAAAGAGATATCTCACCCTGTCTATTGGTGATTGAAAATCACTTCTCCAGTTTTGTAACCAGTAACACCAAAACATGTTGGCTTCCAAATTGAACTCCCCTAAAGCTGAAATACAGAACCATTGAACCTTCCATAGTCTTGCGCAGCAGTAAACAGAATATAAAAATTGTACTACATATAAGGGAGCAAAAGTATTACGACACTAACTTATAAATTAGAATGTACACATAATAAAAAATGTGGTTATGCGTCAAGGTTCAAATTTAAATATTCATTTCTCGCATGGCTCATGGAATCTATGTCGAATCAAATAAAACAGGTGCACATCTTTGTGAACTACTCAAAACTAATGTAAGTTTGATAAAGTAATAGACAGTTAATTCTACTTTGACCTGTATTCAGAAACACAATTTTGATTAGGCATTAATGTTAAAATTGTAATCTAATTTTATCACATGAGTAGTTCAATCAGTGTAAAAAAAAAAAAAAAAACAGTTGCACATGTTTAGCTGTCAAATATTTAGAGTAAACTTGAATCTCTAAACATGAGAAGAGTAAGACTCGATTAAGTAATTTGAAAATTCAATTAGTTTTCAAACGGTCTAGATGAAATTAAAAAGACAAGCACAAATTCAGGTGAGTTCAACAATCATAACATTTTGCAGATCAAAAGGCGAACCTGCATGTTATATAGAGTCCATTAGAAACAATGAAATAAAATTATCACGAGTAGGGAACTTATGTATATTGAAGTAGAGTGAGAGCTTATTAGGGACTTAAAGCTTATCTCTGATAATGAAAGTACCACTGAAAGTCCCAATGTGCATAATGAGAGCTGATTAGGGACTTACCATGTGTTGACACTAACTTATCAATTAAAGCTCTCTTCAAAATCTTTTTAACCATCATAGATTGTGTAGCAGCTTACCTGCAGTTTAGTCAACAACTGATAAGTTAAAATACGACTAGCAGGCAAATGATGCTTATAATTACCATCTGGATTAGAAAGTACATGATTAGGGACTTACCATGTGTTGACACTAACTTTGTACTTAAGAAGTCTCCTCAAATTCTTTGAGACCATCATAGATTGTGTAGCAGCTTACCTGCAGTTGTCGCAACAACTCATAAGTTTAAATAGTACTACCAGGCAAATGATAAGTATAATTTCCATCTTATTTAGAAACAATGAAAGAATAGTAATGAAAGTACTGTTAGAGCCGGTTAGGGACTTAAAACTTATCTTTGATAATGAAAGTACCAGTGAAAGTACCAATGTGCATAGTGAGAGTTGATTAGGCACTTAACACGTGTTGACACTAACTTATCAAATAGAGCTCTCTTCAAATTCTTTGTAACCATCATAGATTGTGTAGCAGCTTATCTGCAGTTATGTCAACAACTCATAAATTGTCAGTCTTGGAGAATGGGGAATTAACTGGATAAACTGCTTATAATTTCACTCTTATTTAGAAACAATGAAAGAATAGTATTCTGGCTAACTAACAATGTATATCACAGTAGAGTGAATGCTATTTAGTGATTTAAAACTTATCTTTGATCCGTGCGCTGCAACTGTAAGTACCAATGTGGGGAACACAGATGATTAGGGAGTTAAAACATGTGACACTAACTTATAAATTACAGCTCTTTTCAAATGCTGGCTACCTGGAAAACAACACAGTAGCTAAATCAGAGACTTATTATATTCTAGACAAATTTGAGAAATCCAAGTAGTTATGAGAAGGAATTATTAATATGCAAGTAGTATTCCAATAGCCATTAGATGTCCCTATGCATTAAGTAGCACAACTAAAACTTATAGTATTCCAATAGCCATTATAAGGTCCATTTTCCAATTTTGTCTCCCAATCTTAGTACTTTACAACTATATAATCAACACATAGATATTCTGAAGCTCTTTTAAGCACCACCTAAATAATTTCTGAGTTAGCCAATTCATCTCCCTAAGACCACATGAGGAAACTTACATCTTCAACCACCATTGGTTCGAAGCGGAAGCATCCCAGCAACAACCAAGGTAAATCTATATACTGCTATTTTTATTATACTATTCTTTGTTAAAGAAGAGTCCTATTATCCCGAATGATTTTAGGGTTGTGTAAGAAAAAACTAAAAACTAGCTCAAACAATTACATTAGACTTTATGTGGTCATCAAAAAATGAATGGCAAAAATTATAATTCATCCTATAGTTTTTGTGGTCATCAAAATCCACATGCATGTGTTCTATATTAAATGAGTTCTAAAAATCTATACTTTAAGCTGCCAGTTTAAATAGATAAATTTACCAAACTTAGATCTGAAACGTAGAAGTGTTAGGGTTAGAAATCCGTACCCAATTTGTCATTCATTTTGTCGAAATCGTTTATCTGAACACACCTTTCTGCCTTTGGTCCACCGTGTATCATCACACACATTTCTTATCACCAATCTTCGATCTCTGTCTACCCATGGACTCCGGCGAAATATAGTGTTCACCGGGTTCAACTTTAGATGACGATAAACCCGTTGAAAAATCCAATTCGGGGCTTTGACTATGGAATGAACACTCAGATTGGGAGTATTGTGTAGACCTATTGGTCAGTTGATGCTTCACAGAACCATCATCTTCATCGTGAATCCATAGGTTAGAGTAGACGAGACTGACAAATCGAACCCTAACACCGTAATCTCCTCCATTTTTAGTGAGATAAACCACCGACTGTGAAGCAAAATGAGCCTCAGAATGGAGTAGTCTAGGTGATTAGGAAAGGAAAGCCAGCTGTGGACATCACGATCCTCATCTTCCTCGCTTTAGTACATTAGATTTAATACTATTATTATTATTATTGTTATTGTTATTGTTATTGTTATTGTTATTGTTATTATTATTATTATTATTATTATTATTATTATTATTATTATTATTATTAGTTTCTTTTCAAGTACTGTTAGTATATAATGGTCGTGAGGCACAATAATAATATAACCATAATTAAATATTCTTGTATTGTATTCCAGAGTTAATGCCATTTTTGATCCTAGACTTATTGAGGCATTGACACTTTTCATCCTTCATAATAAAAATTGCCACTTAGTAGACACTGTTATTGGTCGTTGAACAGTTTTGATCCTCCGTCAATGAAGTCGTTTGTTGACCGTGAATTAGAAGGATTTTTCTGTCTTTTTATATCTTATTCTTCTAATCTTGTTTAGACCAGCGCTGCTGTGACTCCTGTGAGGCGAGATGGCGAGACTTGGCGGCTAAGTAGTAACCGTCGGTAGTGAGTAGCAGCGAGGTTCTTCTCCGGCGAGTTGTGGGTACGGCGGCGAGCATACGAGGCAGTAACTCCTTCCGGCGACGGACCAATAAGGCAGATCTGGCAGTGCAGCAACAGATCCGGCGAGGTTGGGGCCTTCACCGGTGGTTTTTGGTTCCGGTGAAGCAGAGAGGGCAGCAGGTCGGTGAACCCTCCTATGGTAAATAGCAGTTGTAGTTGTAGATGGCGTGATGTAGAATTTGCACCTGTAAGTCCTCCCTTCCATATTGACCACAAATATCCTTCCCATCTCTCTCTCTCTCTCTCTCTGACCACAACTACTTGGTGCACAACCTCAAAAACTCTGTTATTCTACCTGAAATTCATTGAAGTTTCAAGCTGAAAATGTGGAATCTGCCGCTCCCCAAAAATTGCATTGTCTGAGGTGTTGGAATGGCCGGTGTTGACTTCCTGGCTGTTGTAGCTTCATTCCCCAACCCGGATGATAAAATTCGGAGCACCAGCTTTGAGGTTCAAGGAGGTGGTAACACTGGCAATGCTTTGATAAAACCCGGATGATAAAATTCGTCTTGGTCTTAATCCAAGGATCATATCTAAGGTTGCTGATGACTCGCATGACGAAAGAATACTTGATGAGCTTGAAAGGGATGGTGTTGATACATCTTTTATGGTGGTGTCCAAAGGAGGAAACTCACCATTCACACATGTCATTGTTGACAACCAAAAAAAAAACTTGCACGTGCATTTTCACTCCAAGATATCCACCCATGATATCTGAGGGTCTACATACCCAAATCAAAATTGTCTTCAACGCTTGGAGTAAATATTGTCTACTTAGATGGAAGGCTGCATGAGACTGCTTTGATTGTAGTGCAGGAGGCAAAGAGTAGGGGCATACCTATTATACTTGATGCAGAAAGGTTAAGGGAGGGGTTGGGTGATATTCCTGACTTTGCTAGTTATGTTGTATGCTCGACAAAATTTTCACAGGCATGGACTAACGCCCTTTCTATTCCAACTGCACTTGTTTCCATTATCTTGAGATTGATGTCAAATGTAAAATTCGTGATTGTTAGTTGGGTGAAGATGGTTTCTTAATGTTAGAAAGGACTAAAGCGGATAACCTCAGTTTGAAGAAATGGATCTAGCAGTGACCAATGGATGGAGAAATACAAGGATTAGAACATAAAAAGACAAAAAAAAACCCTTCTAATTCACGGTCAACAAACGGCGTCATTGACGGAGGATCAAAACTGTCCAACGATCAATAACAGTGGCTACTAAGTGACAATTTTTATTATGGAGGATGAAAAGTGTCAATGCCCCAATAAGTCTAGGACCAAAAATGACATTAACTCTTGTATTCCGTGAGTCACAATAATAATATAACAATAATTAAATATTGTTCAATTCTATATTCTTCTAAGATTTATATTACCATCATTAATTATTTCCAAATTTACCATAATTAAATAATTTGACCAATTATAAAAAAAGATTATTAAATAATGCACGAGACAATTGTTTAATTAAAAATTTTAAAAATTCATTAATAAAACATAAGATTCTCATAGTTTTTTCTTAGAAACTCTTTAATAAAGTATTTTTTTTAGAAATTGGTGGGCCAAACTGCCTACGGCAATTTGCGGTGGATAGATCTCGAAAAATACACGATTTCAAAAAAACATTTGTCCAAAACGGACAACGGAGTCAAAAGTTATGCCGTGCCAAACTTTTGACACTTTACAAATTAAAAAAAAAAAAAAAAATTTAAAGACCGGTTCAGCCGGCGAGGCGGCAGCTGAGGAGGCCGATTCCTGCCTTCCTCACCGCGGCCAGCGACACGATTTTTGCAACACTGATATATAAAATAGATATTGATTAGAATAGGAATAGTATTACACAATTTTATAATATTACAATAAAATTTTAACCAAGAATTATTGTAGAAATAAATATATTTTATTAGGAAGAGAGATGTTTTAGGAATTGGGCGGGAAGTTAAAATTTAAGGATTTTGTTTTTTCTATATAGTATAGATAGATTGTATTACACTATTTTATAATATTAGAATAGAATTTTAACGCAGAATTACTGTACGAATGTGAAAGTGGAAATCAATATATTTTATTAGGAAGAGAGATTTTTTAGGAATTGGGCGGAAAGTTAAAATTTCAGGATTTTGTTTTTATATATACTATAGATTGTATTACACTATTTGATAATATTCGAATAGAATTTTAACGCAGAATTATTGTACGAATGGGAAAGTAGAAATCAATATATTTTATTAGGAAGAGAGATTTTTTAGGAATTGGGCGGGAAGTTAAAATTTCAGGATTTTATTTTTATATATAGTATAGATTGTATTACACTACTTTATAATATTAGAATAGAATTTTAACGCAGAATTACTATACGAATGGTAAAGTAGAAATCAATATATTTTATTAGGAAGAGAGATGTTTTAGGAATTGGGCGTGAAGTTAAAATTTCAGGATTTTGTTTTTATATATAGTATAGATTGTATTACATTATTTTGTAATATTAGAATAGAATTTTAACGCATAATTATTGTACGAATGTGAAAGTAGAAATCAATATATTTTATTAGGAAGAGAGATATTTTAGGAATTGGGCGGAAAGTAAAAAATTTAAGGATTTTATTTTTATTTATAGTATAGATTGTATTACACTATTTTATAAAATTAGAATAGAATTTTAACGCAGAATTATTGTACGAATGGGAAAGTAGAAATCAATATATTTTATTAGGAAGAGAGATATTTTAGAAATTGGGCGGGAAGTTAAAATTTCAGGATTTTGTTTTTATATATAGAATAGATTATTTTACACTATTTTATAATATTACAATAGAATTTTAACGCAGAATTATTGTACGAATGTGAAAGTAGAAATCAATATATTTTATTAGGAAGAGAGATTTTTTAGGAATTGGGCGGGAAGTTAAAATTTGAGGATTTTGTTTTTATATATAGTATAGATTGTATTACACTATTTTTTAATATTAGAATAGAATTTTAACGCAGAATTATTAAACGAATGTGAAAGTAGAAATCAATATATTTTATTAGGAAGAGAGATGTTTTAGGAATTGGGCAGGAAGTTAAAATTTAAGGATTTTGTTTTTTATATATAGTATAGATAGATTGTATTACACTATTTTATAATATTAGAATAGAATTTTAACGCAGAATTACTGTACGAATGTGAAAGTAGAAATCAATATATTTTATTAGGAAGAGAGATTTTTTAGGAATTGGGCGGGATGTTAAAATTTCAGGATTTTGTTTTTATATATACTATAGACTATAGACTATAGATTGTATTACACTATTTTACAATATTAGAATAGAATTTTAACGCAGAATTATTGTACGAATGGGAAAGTAGAAATAAATATATTTTATTAGGAAGAGAGATTTTTTAGGAATTGGGCAGGAAGTTAAAATTTCAGGATTTTATTTTTATATATAGTATAGATTAATTTACTCTACTTTATAATATTAGAATAGAATTTTAACGCAGAATTACTGTACGAATGAGAAAGTAGAAATCAATATATTTTATTACGAAGAGAGATGTTTTAGGAATTGGGCGGGAAGTTAAAATTTCAGGATTTTGTTTTTATATATAGTATAGGTTGTATTACATTATTTTGTAATATTAGAATAGAATTTTAACGCAGAATTATTGTACGAATGGGAAAGTAGAAATCAATATATTTTATTAGGAAGAGAGATTTTTTAGGAATTGGGCGGGAAGTTAAAATTTCAGGATTTTATTTTTATATATAGTATAGATTGTATTACACTACTTTATAATATTAGAATAGAATTTTAACGCAGAATTACTATACGAATGGTAAAGTAGAAATCAATATATTTTATTAGGAAGAGAGATGTTTTAGGAATTGGGCGGGAAGTTAAAATTTCAGGATTTTATTTTTATATATAGTATAGATTGTATTACATTATTTTGTAATGTTAGAATAGAATTTTAACGCAGTATTACTATACGAATGGTAAAGTAGAAATCAATATATTTTATTAGGAAGAGAGATGTTTTAGGAATTGGGCGTGAAGTTAAAATTTCAGGATTTTGTTTTTATATATAGTATAGATTGTATTACATTATTTTGTAATATTAGAATAGAATTTTAACGCATAATTATTGTACGAATGTGAAAGTAGAAATCAATATATTTTATTAGGAAGAGAGATATTTTAGGAATTGGGCGGAAAGTAAAAAATTTAAGGATTTTATTTTTATTTATAGTATAGATTGTATTACACTATTTTATAAAATTAGAATAGAATTTTAACGCAGAATTATTGTACGAATGGGAAAGTAGAAATCAATATATTTTATTAGGAAGAGAGATATTTTAGAAATTGGGCGGGAAGTTAAAATTTCAGGATTTTGTTTTTATATATAGAATAGATTATTTTACACTATTTTATAAT